CTGATTATTTTATTCAAGGAAAATTGGCTACAAGATAGGTAAAACAAAAAAATATTAAAGGACCCTTTTCCACGCCTTTAGGCGTATAGGGCATATAGGGCTGGACCTATATTTTTTATAGACCAATCGGCACAAGATGGGTGATGTGGTCGGCATCACACAGGCCGCCTATACTTTCCCGGGACTGCACCCGGTACCCACTCAAGGCTTGGTCGACCTGGGAGTCAAGGTCATTTTTTGAAAAAGTCCGGCTCCGCCAGGGAGCGTACCCACGACCTTCCGATCCGCTCAGCCACAGCGACTCCCACAAGATTGGTAGATAGTTGTGAATAATATAGTCACCCCTTTGTAGAATGCAATTTTTCGTTATTTGAAGCTCTACTCTGGCTCTTGCCAGGTGCCGCAATATAGCCCGGCAATAAATATGGTCTAATGGCTGACAGCGGGTTCTGGGACCTCTCCACGGGTGATCCTCATCCGCATGGTGGCACTTTGTGTTATCGGATGCTTTTCGCTTCTATGATGTCCTGGTGGGGTAAAAGAAGATAGATAGGTAGTTGTACCCCACCAAGACATCATAGAAGAAGAAACACCTGGTGACACAAAGTGTCACCATGCGGATAAGAATCACCCGTGGAAAGGTCTTAGAAAATCCTATCAGCCGCTAGGCCATATATATGTCTAGGCCAAATTTGGCTATATTTAGGGCCCCCGACAAAAGCCAGGGTGGGGCTTCGAAATAACAAAAATTTCATCCCACGAAGGGACGACTTGATTGAGTGGCTATAACAAGTTAGAATAAATACAAATCTGAGATCACATACTCAAAATAATATTATTAAAACAGGAATATCTCTTGGAAATTTTCATATGTAAATATATTACAAGAAAATTGCATATGTGAAATAAAAATATTCAGAATTTTGTGAGCTAGGGTTATTCAAATGGAGACCTAGCAAGTGTTTCGCGGATCATGTCCATTTTTATTGTATCAACAGTATTTCTATGCTGTTGGCGTCGTCTGTGGTTTAGGCGTTGAGAACACGCCTCATAATGCCGGGGTGCCGGGTTGCACCCCAGCTGGCATTCCGCCTTGCGTTGGTTTCGACAGTGGTATTGACCATCTGACCGTCCAGTAAGCAATGGCAAACTACTGAACGTAAATTTGCCTATAAAAAAAACCCACAACAGCCACACCAAAAAAATCTGGGGTTGGTTCTGCAACGTAGTGTAAAGGATACGCAACTAACATTTTGTGTAAACGCTAGGGCCTCTGGTCCGTGACGATCACCGTTTAGATAATTTTGCCATTGCGTAAGATTATTTGAATAAGCCTGCCCTGGGCTGTAGTTTAGCTACCGTATGCCTACATCCAGGAGAGCATGCAATGAGAGTTCATTTGCTATATCAATACAGTCAATAACTTTAAATGCACAGCCAGACGTACAGCCAGTGCTGTAAAACAGTTAAAAAAAAGTAAAAGGTCCCTTTTCCACGCTTTTAGGCGTATAGGGCTAGACCTTAATTTTTATAGACCAATCGGCACAAGATGGGTGATGTGGTCAGCATCACGCCGGCCGTCTTTACTTCCCACCACTGCACCCGGTACCCACTCAAGGCTGGGTCTACCTGGGAGTCAAGGTCTTTTTCGAAAAAAAGTCCGGCTCCGCCAGGGAGCTACCCCAGCGACCTTCCGATCCGCAAGCAAGCGTTTAGCCACTACGCCACTGCGACTCCGAGTGGTATATTTGTAATAAATAGTCAACAGTAATAAAAAAAAAATGTACAGAAATTTAGTTTTTTTCTGCAATAGAAAGTGTGAGGGGTGATTATGGCATTTTATTCTTCTTATTCGCAGAGGGTCGGCTCTGTGACTAAGTCCAAGCGAACGCTTCGTAATGCCGGGGTGCCGGGTTCGATCCACGCTGCAGGCCATGCGCCCTGCGTTAGTTTCGACAGTGGTATCAGGGAGCCGACCGTCAATAGCAAATTACTCCACGTAAATTTGCCTAGAGAAACCACACAACAGCCAGGGGCTGCTGTGGTTGGTTCTGCAACGTCTTGTAAAGGATACACAACTAGCCTATTCCCAGATATTGTGTCAGGATGCAAATCTAGTACAATAGGGATCAGACACCAAGATATAATTGTATAGTGTGTTTATGTATATACAAATCCAGGATACCTTATTCAACCGTCTAAGAAGCTATAATCATGGCTCCGATAGCGGATACATGAGGTACCTGGTTTACCTTATTGTCTTAAGCAGGTAGTTCGGTATGATGTAACTGTTGCTAAAATGCACAATCTACCTCACATATGATGGGCTTCTATCAGCTGCAACAAACACTAATGGATCAATTTGAGCAGCGTGCGCGCGAGATCGCGAGTGCGTGTATGTGTGTGTCAGTGTGCGTAGCCGGTGCTTTGTTTTCAAGTGGACAAAAATGGTACTAGTACTCATTACCGTGTGTCCAGAAAAAAAAAAAGCATAAGTACTAACCACGGAGTACCTTTTACAGTAAGTAAAGTAATTTTTTTACAGGCCAATCAGCACTAGGTTGGTAATGTGGTCAGCATTACACCGGCCGTCTTTAATTCCATGACAGCCCTCCTTGTATCCTGGTATCGACCTGCGACGCCGCACACCATGATAGAAATCCACGCAGCCAGTGGTTTTCGGTCGCTTTCGACGTTGGAATTACCAGTCAGACTCGCAACGCTTAAGCCACAGACGAACGTGTTTACAGAAGATGTGCTGAAAAATAATGCCCCCGACCCCTACCCCCCACCCCCCCCCCCTTTTTTTTTCAAAAAAAAAGGGGGTCTAATACTGCGTACCAAAAAATAGGAAAAACTCCGCTAAAAAACATTAAAAAAAAACCTTTATTGCAGTATTTGCAGGCACGGTCATTCTTTTTTTTTTTTTTTTACTTCTACCATACCCTCCCCCTCCCCCTCCCGAATGCGGCATTTACCCTCAATCAACTCAGGTCAATTGTCATTTCGTTCTGTCTTTGCTATCATATGAAGCTCTCCCCGTGTCTCTAACCCACCCCCCCCCTACTCTCTCCCACCCTCGCCATCTTCCCCAATCGTGTTAACTTCTCTCTCTTTCTCCTCTGTTTTTGTGTGTGTGAGTGTCTTCCTTTATTTCTATGTCCCTGTGGGTTTCAGTGCAAAGACGTTATAGTTATATTGTTCACAAGTTTCCTCAACGTGTGTCCTGTCCATTGCCAGACTCTTTTCATTATCTCAAGGTAAAGAGGAACTTGTTTTAGTTTCTCTCCAAAAGCTCATTTGTGATTCTGTCATTCCATTTAATCTCCTCTGCGCTGGTACCATTGAATGAATATTTGTCGTTTGTTAGTAACTGCTTCGTTCGTTCTCCGTGTTTACGTTCGTTGGTAACTGCTTCATTTGTTCTCAGTGTTTACGCTCCATACAACAGTAGTGATTTGACACTAGACATTAGAAGTCGTTAACCGTCTGTGAACCCGCGTGGAAAATTAGGCTGTTTATCCACTTTTGGACTTCGGACTTGTTCCAGAACTGGAGTTCTTCCTGCATGTCTGTTTTACAGTTGTGCATAGGAAGGAAACAAAAATGAGTGTACACTGGCGGCTACTCACCTTTGAGGCAGATACACTTTGAATGTCCGCTTCCTGTTTGAGCTTCTCGTAATGGAAAGATCACTTCTACTTCTTCTTCTTTTTCTTCTTGTTTTTGTTGTTGTTGTTGTTGTTGTTCTTCTACTTCTTTTTCTTCTTTTTCTTCTTCTTCTTCTTCTTCTTCTTCTTCTTCTTCTTCTTCTTCTTCTTCATTTGCTTCTTCTTTCTTCTTCTTTCTTCTTCTTCTTCTTCTTCTTATTTCTTCTTCTTTTCTTCTTCTTCTCTTCGTCTCTCTTCATTCTTCTTCTTCTTCTTCTTCTTCTTCTCTTCTTCTGATCTGTCTTCTTCTTTCTTCTTCTTCTTCTTCTCTTCTTTGCTCATCGGCTGTAAACTCGGGCGGAAAGACTAGGTTGCTCGTCCATCTAGACTTTAGCTTCGTGCCAGGACTTGAGTTTTGCCTAAACATCCGTTTTAGCGGCTTTTTTACATGCAGTTTTGTTGACCCTTTGCCTCTTGGCAGATATACTCCGACTTCGAAGTGATTTCCTTTTAGTCGCACTCTTACAACATGCTTGTTGGAAAGGCAGTGGGTCTGTTCTTGTTTACCTCCTAACGGGGCTCCGGAACCCGCACGAGAAAAATTGTCACATAGGTTTCACGGATTCAGGCACAGCCTTAATATTTTTGTCTCATTGTTGCACTGATTTAACTCCTTACTATTCAATGTCCCATAGAGTACATACAGTTTGGGTTAGAAAGTGTTGAAGAAGCGCATCCTAGGGGCTGCAAGAGTTAATATGTAATTTTAAAAATCTTATCCCAATGTGGGACGCTATTTTTCGGAATTCAAAAGTCACACTCCGGCTGTAGCCGGGAGCCCTAATATAACCTAACTGTACAGCAGAGGGTTTCTGGGAAATGCATCCGGTTGATTCTCATCCCAATGGTGCCACTTTGTGTCACGGGTAGTTGGTTGCTCAACCTGGTGGAGTTGAACGTCACTCACTCAAGAGTGAATATTCTTTTAAATCGGTTCAGTCCTAGGCACATCTTACTTTAACCCGTCATACAAATGCATGTTTCGAGAACTTCCTCTGCTCCCTTTTAATTTATTTGTTCTTTCTGTTCTTTTTTAATAGTGGGTCTTCTCCTGTCCACACCCTACACCACCCTAACGCCCACTTGTTGGTCTGTTTGTTTTCTTCAATTATTTCTCAAAAGCTGTCTTTAAATTTGTTGGCATTCGCATCGATTTTCCAGAAGCTGGTAACCCGTTGTTTCTCCATTTACACAGATGCTTGTATAAGACGCTGACAGCTAAAGTCATAGTCCTACACCTTTCGATCCTGCCACAAATTTCCAGCCAAGGCCGAGACACAGCCCAGCATCATGCAGAAGAACCTTCGAATTAGCGAGGCCCAGCTCATCTACTTGGCTAACAAAGCCAGAGTGGAAAACACCGTATGTGGATATCTGTACAAGCGCAGCTCTGACATGGGCCGTTGGCAGCAGCGTTATTTTGTTCTTCATCAGAATGTCTTGTTTTATTATGAGAACGAGACTTCAGCACGGCCTTCGGGTATTGCATTGTTGGAAGGAAGCTACTGCGATAGGATTATCGCTCCTGTCGGCATGAAAGGGAGGGAGACAGAGAAACAGGTAAATATGTGTTTTGTGTAATAAGTAAAAGCAAAGTGAAGTAATGGACGCTTTATCAAGCCTTCGGGCGTATTGGGCATGTAAGGCCTGACCTATCTTTATTAGACTAATGGGCACTTGTTGGATGATGTGGTCAGCATCATGCCGGTTGCCTTTAGTGCACCTGATACCCACTTAGTGCTGGGTCGAACTAGGAGCTTAGGTTAAAAAAAAAAAAAAAACGAGTGTCTATCCATTACATGTCCGCGACCCCCCGCGTAGTAAGCTTAATACATAGAAAAAGGTTTTTATAGAATGCCACTTTTGTAACTTTTGTTCTCACAAAAATAAAAAAAAAAAAAAAAAAAAAAAATAAAAAAAAAAAAAAAAAAAAAAAAAAACAAAAAAAAAAACAAAACAAAAAAAAAAAACAAAAAAAAAAAAAAAATTAAAAAAAAAAAAAAAAAAAAAAAAAAAAAAAAAAAAAAAAAAAAAAAAAAAAAAAAAAAAAAAAAAAAAAAAAAAGGGGGGGGGGGGGGGGGGGCTTCTTCTGGCGACTTTTTGTAGCATACGTCTGGTAAAAAAAATTACCAAAATTATTTCCTTATTGTTGGCTCGCCGGTAGACGACTTCGTCGCCGGTCGGGACAGTATTTAGGTCTGTCTCCTTTGATCGCAGGAGTCTTTTTCGCAGGGCTCTTGGTGTCGTGCAATGCTAAGCCATTTTATATGGCGGACATAACCTTGTCGCAGGTATAACTGCAATTTTCTTTCGGGGATGCTTGTTAATCGTGAGGATTCCCCCCCCCCCCCCCCTGAAAAGCACCTACTTATCTCTCCTTAAGTATGTAACATTTAATGATTGTCTTCACTGGCACAATATCGTTTGCTATAAATGCGTAGTGGAAAAGTTTAGCAATCGCTTTTTACGCTCGCCTACTTGAAGATAAGGGCTGTAAACACTCAGAAAACGGTTTATTATATTTCAATGGGTTCGTTCGTCTAGTGTTGTATTTAGCTCAGAGAATACAATTATGTAGGAAATGGCAGTATTGCTTCTTTTTTTTTTTTAATGTGCTTTATACTGACTTGTTACTAGTTACTATGTATGTGTGACAAAGAGATTAAGAGAGAGAAGGGAGTATAGGAAGTGATATGTACGGACAGAGAGACAGAGAGTAACTAAGCGAGAATGAGTCAGGAGAGAAAAAAAGTAGAGTTTGGGTAGGGAGAGAGGGAAGAGAGAGCGAGAGAAAGAGAAAGATGGGAGAGAGGGAGAGAAAGAGTGAGAGAGATCCAAATACAGAGTGAACAAATTCCTGTTAAGTAGGATACCCGTCTTTGGGAATAATGGAAGCTGGGTCGATTCTCTAACACCACCGGCCTGAAATGAATAATTTAGTGTTGCCTTAATAAGAACTGATGACAACGAAATTTATGATATAAATAGCATGGAAAAATCACTGATGGGGGAAAACATTGCAGCGAATCAAGAAGAGGAGAAAAAAAAAACATGCGCAGGCAGTACTTACCAAAACCCTGCTCAAATTATCCAGAATGTTTTTAATCTCACGTAACCCACATAACTACATAAATTTCTTGGTATACAACATTCACTGGGTCGACCTGAGAACCCTAGGTGCCTCGATGCATACCCAAACCAATGATCTTCGGAGTGACAGGCAAGCATCTCCCTTCTATCGCACTTCCTCTTCCTCTTCAGCACTTCGAGCGCTTGAAGTTCATTGTTGCAGATATCACCCGCCTCCACTCATCTCTCGATAGTCTTCTTGGCCTCTGCCTTGTGGTCTACGGTCATTAATTTCCCGTGTGTATATAGTTTTTAATCTCTCTGTCATCTGACATTCTCTCAGCATGCCTCAGCCATTTCAACCTATTAGCTCTCGTGATGCCAGTGATCAATAGTGACGTAAACAGATTAAGAATTTTGTTGTTGCTTCTCACTCTCCACTCCCCGCTGTTTACATTTTTGATAGGTTCAAAGATTTGTGGTAATACTCTTTGTCGAAACCCTGTAATAAGCCTACATCTCTTTTAGTTGTGCTCCAAGTTTCAGAGCCATGTTAAACAACTGGTCTTATCAACGTTTTATATATTTTGTTTTTGGTGTTGCGAGATAGAGACTTTAACTTCACTCGTACTGGTCACAAACAATAATCCAGCCTTTACTTACGTTATTTGCTTAATGCTGTTCAAATACAGTATAATTGCACGTTCATTTAACAAAAGGAATTCAGTTCTTGAAAGATCAAATTATAAAAAACTGGTCAATATGAATATAAAAAATAATTATTTAATAATACATGCATATTATCAACCCGCTTTTGTAATCTCAATTAATAAATAAAAAATATTCTTAGTTCGGTAGAATACAGTATTACATTTCCACAATTAGAAAAGTTTTAAACAAGCGATTTCTTTCTGTCTGTCATTTCGACTCAGCTGTTTTATTCATCACCATCGCCTCATACGTTTCCCGTTAAAAGTCGAACTAACCGAAGGTTGCGGTCCAGCACTTGGTGGATAGCGTCGGTTATCACCATTCCTTGTGGATGTTTAGGATATTTTGCCAGTAATGTGTTTTCTCTAAGTTTACAGTATGGAGTAAAGCGTATCATTAAGGTATGTTTTATACTCTGAAAAGTACTTTTGAGATATTTTGATTCACGAGACAAGCTTACGAGTAGCAAAGTTTATCAAATTCAGCTGCATATTCTCATCATTCTCATCTTTACAGCCGTGCATCTATCTTCTTGTATCCATTCTCTTACTGTTAATCATTTCCACAAAAGTTTTGAATAGTGAATACAACCAGAATACCTGAATACCTATGCACAGGGTTAACATTGATCCCCATAAAGTTATTTATTCAATTGCCTCAGTAACACTTCCAATTTAAACCAGAAATGATCGTTCGTTTTTTGCTCCTTGCTACATCGTAACCATGCAACTCTCACTAGCTATACAAAATGGTTGGCTAAACTTGCCGTCTGCTTACAGGGCGGAATTACAATTAGGCCAAATCATAGATGTGTGATAGCTGTTTGAGTTACATGCTTTGTTTCATGGATCAAGATTCTGTCATTGTAAAATCAGTGACATTCTTCAAGTACCAGACTATGCAAGAAGAATATGTGAAAGCATAACACTCCCCACACCAACGGTGAAGAAAAAAAAAAAGCTACCGTGGCTGTGGAATTACATTTACAGTAACCAAATCAGTTACCTTTACTATACTAGCCTCTCACCTTCAGCTGGAACTTTACCAGAAGTACATGTACATTTTCGACATCGTAATCATCATGTGCCCTGCCAACTGGCGCAGGCGCTCATGCATCTCCACAAATCAAGATCCCTGGTTGCCTAGAACAGCTCTCTTGAGGATATCCCTCCATGCCATCGTTTCAGCCCATCAAGCATCACTTTCTTGGTCTATCTCAACCCCTTTTTCCTCTGATCGTTCCAGTTTTCGCGACGTTCTCTAACGTCTCTCTTCTCATTACGTTGTCTCTTTCTTATTATCGTACTAGCTGTACCCGGCCACGCGTTGCTGTGCCCCAGAATGGTGAAATGGAAAGGAAAGAAAATAGCTCTTAGCTAACAGTGTCTGTCATATCTCTCCCCTCGACCCAGTCATTTCTTCCGCTCCGAAGGATTTGGAAATCATCCATGGCGAAATTATTAAAATAAAAATAGTTAAGAAATGAGAACATTAAAATAAACATAGTTAAGAAATGAGAACTTGAAAAAAATATTGTAAACTCTCTCAATTAACTGTGTCTAGCATTAACCCCCCTCCACCAATCATATCTCCCTCTCAGTAGGATTGACAAATCACCACCTGGAGAAATTATAATAATAGAAATAGTTAAGAAATGAGAACATTAAAATAATATTTTAAGCTCTTTCAGCTAACTGTGTCTGGCATAACCCACTCCCCCCCCCCCCCCCACCCTTCATATCTCCGTCTCCAAAGGATTGAAAAATCATCACCTGGCGAAATTATTAAAATAGAAATAGTTAAGAAATGAGAACTTTAAAATAATAATTTAAGCTCTCTCAGCTAACTGTGTCTGGCATAACCCCCCCTCCCCTCCCCCAATCATATCATCTTCTCTGAAGGATGGGAAAGTAATCGTGTAACGAAATATTGTAACTAAATTGAGCTTTGCATCCGTGTCCACTCAGACTTAAATAGGTAGCATTAACTTGTACAGAGAAGTAAATGTAGCCAGTGTAACAGCTACCACATCACTCATCCAGTACCAGTACTACTGCAACCACAACCACCACCACCATCACAACAACAACAAAAACTGTCACTACAGTCTGTGTAGGTCGGTGTAGAAAAGAGGAGTTAGCGCCGCATGCTGTCGCCACGGACTATTTAGTTTGATTTTAAAGAAAAAAAAACTTTATCACGTAACCAGTGATGGAACCCACAGTGAACAGTACACAATACTCACGAATAGGGGAGAAAAATAGCCCGCACCCTCATCTCTACCTCTCCGAGGGAACGATTTTTAACTGACCTTGGCATCAGTGTCCACCAAAACTAAACTGGACTGTAAGCCGTCTTAGTTAACAGTTTCTGTCATCGCCGAATAGTTTTTGATAGAGAAGCGTCACGGGGAGGCTAATTAGGACAACTGAAATCGGATGTCTTTGGGCGAAAGGCGCAGATATTGCAGCCTAGCTATAAACCACAACGCAACGTGGCAACCACCCTTTTAGGGGAAAAAGAACAATTATCACCCAGCGGGGAATCAAACACCGGTCACCCGAGTGAAGAATGACATACTCACAACTTTACTACCGACGACTGAAGAGTTTAGGTCAGATATCGCAGCCTAGCTGTAAACCACAACACAACGTGCCAACGGCCCTCTCGAGGGCGAACGAAGATTACCCGTGACATGACCATTGAGCATCACGTCGCCGCTGTCGCAGGCTAGCTGTAAACCCCAAAACCGAATAAAGGCGTAAATATTGCAGCCTAGC